CACCTATGAGGTCAGATTCTTTGACGAGGAGTCCTACAGTCTGCTGAGGAAGGTGAGTATCAGCGACCTGGAGCCCCGCCCAGGCCTACAGGAGGGAGGGTGCACCTCACTTCCACGGCCACCTTCGCCCTGTAGTGCCTCTTACCCGAGCTCCAGGCCACTAGGGGCCTTGCCTTCACAGAGAAGGCTGACCCAGGGTTGGGGGTGGGGGGGTGGCGTGCCTTCCTGACCACCTGCCACGCCTGTGCTCGCACCTTCCACGTTTCTCTCTTGCCCGGCTCTTCTGTCTTCCATGGCTTGGGCCAACGTTCCTGCCCGTCCAACCTCTCCCCCACCCTGCCTGGCGGCACCCCTGACCCCAGCATCTCCTTGCAGGCTCAGAGAAATAACGAGGACATTTCTATCATCCCACCCCTGTTCACAGTCAGTGTGGACCATCGGGTAAGCGTGCTGAAGAGGCCAGCCGGTCTCAGGGGAAGCAGGGAGCACGCCACAAGCCTCGCCGTTTTTGAGGGGTGGGGACGGGCCGGGAGAGGGTCGGTGTGCCTTCGCGCCCTAGAGGGCAGGTGGCCGGGGCTGGCTGGTTCCTCGCCCTTCTCTTCCCTGAGGTGGCTTTGGTCTCCTTTCTTGCAGGGCACCTGGAATGGACCCTGGGTCTCTACCGAGGTACTGGCTGCAGCCATCGGCCTGGTGATCTACTACCTGGCCTTCAGTGCCAAGAGTCACATCCAGGCTTGAAGGTGGCACCGAGGGGCCCTCCTTGCTACTTTCAATAAACAGTTGCTGGCTGTCACCGGTATTCAGGACGTGGGCTCCCGACTTGCATTGTCGTGCCTTCTGCACATGCGCAGAGCTGGGCCACCGGTCCCCTTAGCCACCTGGATGGTGCAGGCACTGGCTGGGGCCTCGCTCTGCTGTCGCAGGCTGTCCTTCCTTGGCCCCAGTTGGGCCTTCCCTGCCCGGTGCCCACGGTGTCTGCCTTCTGCCTCTCCCAGCTGCCCGCATAGGTTTGGGCAGGCCGTGGGGTTGCGCTTCTACCCGGCACCTGCTGTCTTCTGGCAGAGGGGACGGCCTCGTTCTCTCCCGCCCTCACCTGGCCGCCGCACGGCAGGGTTTCTGTGGCCCGCCTGGGAGAGGGCCCGGTGACCTGCCAGCAGAAGGGTAGCTGCCCAGAGAAAGTCAGGGGTCGTGGCCGGCTTCCCTGGAACGTAGCAGTCAGCAGCACACGTAGGTGCAGCGCCACCTGCCCGGAGCCCCGGGCTCGAGCCGCGCTCCCGAGCGCATACCTCCCGCGCTGTTGCCGTGGGGCGTCGTGGGCCCCCCTACTCGCTGGTGCGGCTAAGGCCGCTGCACCTGGCGGCGGGCGGTGGGATGGTCCCTCCAGGTCCCGCACCCCACCTCCGTGTTGCCTCCCCCTGTGCTCTCACTTCGTGGTGTCCAGCGGGACGCGTAGAAGGCACAGGAAAGTGGAAGGAAAGGTGACTTGAGTCCCCACGTCTCTGAGGAGCCAATCTCGCCTCTTCCGGTTCGTCCTGCATCTCGTCTCAGTGCCCCGTCTCCCCTGAGCACCTAGTGCTCTGTGGCACTGGGAGGGCCCGGGTGTGTGGAGGGTGGCTTGTGACCTGGGACTGCCTGGGGACCTCCTTCGGGCTAGGGGACACCAGCCTCTCCCTGCTCCTTGACTCTCAGTCCTCGAAGTGGGTGGGGACAAAGTGACAGGAATGGAGGCTGTGGGGAAGGGCTGACTCCTTCCCAGAAGCAGGGGTGCAGCAGGAGACTTGGAGCAGCAAGGGACCCTTGAGAGTCCCCCGAGGGTCAGGCAAGGCTAGGACCGCTGGCTGATGGGCTTCCCGAACTTCCGGGAAACCAGCGGTGGGGGGTTCGGGGGGCGCCTGCTGGCAGGGATTGCTGCTCCCCCGCCTTGCCGAGGGGTGAAGGGGGAGGGGTTCTGCCAACACCCTGTGCCAGGCACGCAGGGCGAACAGTGGCTGCTTGTGGCTGCCCGGTGGCTCTTTGATTCTGTTCCACGGCAATAGGACCCAAACGTGACGTCCGTTCCAGGGCAGCAATAGCTAAGGGTTGCTGGCCCTCCTGGCGCCACCTCTCCCAGGACCCCTGGTGCCAGCTTCCACGTGGCAAGGGACTCCACACAGTTTATGGGCCTGTCCTGGCCCACGTCCCAAGAACACTGGGCCTCCGGCACTCTCTCCTCCCAGACAAAAATGGGGTGCCTTTAGAGCCATCAAAGTGAGTCCCTCAGCAGCCAGAGAGGTTGGCCCCAGTCTCCAGTTGGCTTCCAGCCAGTTTTCCCGCAGCCGGGGCCAGGCTTTTGGGGCCCCATCCTCTATGGGGCCTGCTTGGGGCCCAGTTGGCCCCTCTGCAGAACAGATGTGCCTAGTGCTGGGCTCCAGAGGCCTAGGAGGGCTGAGAAAGCCTGTCCCCAGCCCCAACCCCTTCCTTTCCCATCTGCCCCTTTTCACCAACAAGCCCTCTCCTCCCTCCCCATGTGCTGGGGTTCCAGGCCTGCGGTGTGATGGACCGGGCCTTCT